GGCTCCACATGCTGCAATACCGCAACCTGCTGAACATGTCGATCAACATGTTAATCCCCCCCGCAATGAAACATGCTTCAAATTTCCCTACTTCAATCCGGCCCCATGGGCCCAAAGATCTATCAATTCTAATTCCAAGAACCAATGACTTAAAGATATGCCAACCTTTCAGTAGACAACTCGTTGACTGGCTTCCCACATGTCAATGATCTCTCAGCAGCTCAAATCTTTCTACAACTCGATCCAATAATCCGATCCCGTCCCATGCCTCCCTGCGAGAAGCAAACCGTAGTAGCCGTAGTGGTGATGGTGGTGGCAAGTAGCAGCAGCAGTAGTAGTAGCAGCAGAAGCACTAAGAGTACCAGCAGAGAAAATAGTAGCAGTAGTCGTAGTAATACGCGTCGTCGTGGTCGTCGCCGTCGTCGTCGTACTAGTAGTCGTAGTCGTAGTCGTAGTCGTAGTCGTAGTAGTTGTAGTAGTAGTAGTAGTAGTAGTAGTAGTAGTAGTAGTAGTAGTAGCAGTAGCAGTAGCAGTAGCAGTAGCAGTAGTAGTAGTCGTAGTAGCAATAGTAGTAGCAGTAGTAGTGGCAGTAGTAGTAGTAGTAGTAGTAGTAGTTGTAGTAGTAGTAGTACTAGTAGTAGTAGTAGTCGTAGTAGTAGTAGTAGTAGTAGTAGCTGTAGTATCAGTAGTAGTAGCAGTAGTAGTAGTAGTAGTAGCAGTGGTAGTAGTAGCAGCAGTAATAGTAGTAGTAGTAGTAGCAGTATGCGTCGTCGTAGTCGTACTAGTAGTAGCATTAGTCGTCGTAGTGGTGGTAATGGTGGTAGAGCTAATAGTAGTCGTCGTAGTCGTGGTCGTAGCCGTAGTAGCAGTAGTAGTAGTAGTTGTTGCTGTAGTAGTAGCAGTGGTAGTAGCACTGGGAGTTGGAGTAATAGTACAAGTAGTAGTAGCAGTAGTCGTCGTACTAGTAATAATGGTGGTAGAACTATTATTATAGGTAGGTAGTAGTAGCAGTAGTAGTAGAAGTAGCAGCCGCAGCAGCTGCAGCAGCCGCACTAAGAGTAGCAGTAGTACTAGTCGCCGTAGTAGTAGTAGTAGCAATAGTAGTAGTAGTAGTAGTAGTAGTAGTAGTAGTAGTAGTAGTAGTAGTAGTAGTAGTAGTGTACGCACTGGTGGTAGCAACAATAACAGTACTCGTACTGGTACTAGAAGAATAGCAATACTGTCAGAGTAGTGGAAATAGTAGCAGTAGCAATGGTAGGTAGAAGTATCCGTAATAGTAACAGTAGTACTGGTAGCAACAGTAGTAGCAGCGGTCGTAGCAGTAGCGGCGGCAGTAGTAGTCGTAGCAGTAGTGGACATAGTCGTGGCAGTCTAGTAGTAGTAGCAGTAGTAATAGTAGTAATAGTAGTAGTAGTAGTAGTAGTGGTAGTAGTAGTAGTAGCACAAGTAGTAGTACCAGTAGTAGTCGTAGTAGTAGTGGTGGTGGTGGTAGTAGTAGTAGTAGTAGTAGTAGTAGTAGTGGTAGTGGTAGTAGTAGTAGTAGTAGTAGTAGTCGTCATCGTAGCAACGGTACTGATGGTAGCGGTTGTAGTACGAGTAGCAACGGTACTAGTAGTAGCAGCAGTGGCAGATGCAGTAGTGAGGGGATAGTAGTAGCAGTAGTAGTAGTAGTACTCGTGAGTATCGTTGTAGTAGTAGTAGTAGTAGTAGTCATCGTAGCAACAGTACTGATGGTAGCGGTTGTAGTACGAGTAGCAGTGGTAGTAGTAGTAGCAGCAGTGGCAGATGCAGTAGTGAGGGAATAGTAGTAGTAGTAGTAGTAATAGTATTAGTAGTAGCAGTAAGTAAGTAGTAGTGGTAGCGATAGTGGTGATAGTAGTCGGAGTCCTAATAGTAGAAATTGTTGTAACATACCCTCAGTAGCAGCAGTAATGATGGTCGTAGTAGAAGCAGCACACATAATTGTAATAGTAGTAGCCGTAGTCGTAGTGGTAGTCGTAGTAGCAGTAGCGGTCGCACTAATAGAAATAATGATACCGACAATCCGAATAACAATACACTAGTTGTCGTAGCTGTAGTAGTAGTAGTAAATAGTAGTAGCAGTAGTACTGTTAATAGTAGTAGTAGCAATATGAAGTAGTAGTAGTAGTAGTAGTAGTGGTGGTAGTAGTAGTAGTAGTAGTCGTAGTAGTAGTAATAGTAGTACTAGTAGTAGTAGTCGTAGTAGCAATATGAATAATATGTAATACTAGTAGTAGTGGCAGTAGTAGTAGTAGTATTTGTAGTACTAGTAGTAGTAATAGTAGTAGTAGTAGTAGTAGTAGTAGCAATTTGAAAAAAATGTGAACAATAATATTAGTAGCAGTTGCCGTAGAAGTAGTAGTAGCAGTAGTCGTGGTAGTAGTTGTAGTAATATATTCTGTATAAAAATGAATATGTATATATATATATATGTATGTAACAAATCGTTGTAGAAGTCGTAATAGTAAAATGTGGAAGACGAGTAGTAGTGGTAGAAATATCGATATTATGAATAGTAGTAGTCGTGGCTGTAGTAGTCGTAGCAGGGCCACACTTTCTTTATGGCTGGGAACTCCCCATGTTCTACGGCCAGTACCTTCGTAGGGCCCTCAATACCGGTATATAGAAACACAATACAAACTACGCCTATTTCACACCTGGCCTATGGCGGGCGCCTTTCTCTGCGTAGAACTTTCAGAAAATTCCTCTCTTGATCCTCCACGTTCGCCAATTTGGCCGTCCACACGGGCGTCGGATCCCTTAAGACGCCCTTCGGATTCCGATGGAATCCACTAAGATCCTTATGGAATCCGGAGGGATCCCGACGGAATCCTATAAGACCCTTATGGAATCCGATGGGGTCCCTATGGAATCCTATGGCATCTCCATGAGATCTTATGGGATTTCGATGGAATCCTTTCGGATTCTAATGGAATCCTATAGGATCTCTATGAAGTCCTATAGGTTCCTTACGGAATCCTAAGAGATTTCTATGAGATCGCATGGGATCCAGATAGGATCTTCTAGGATAGTTGTGGAAACCTATCGGATGTCCTTGGAATGGCACAGGAACCCTTCGGGATCTTATAGGATCGTCCATAGAATTCAATAGGACCTCTTCGCAATCCTGTAAAATCCAAATAGAATCCTATACGATCCCCATGAAATCCTATAGGATCCCAATGCAATCCTAAAGGTTCCCGTCCCGCTGGAGTCCTACAGGACTCCGATGGCATCCTTTAGGATCTCTTGGGCTCTCTGAGAAGTCCTATGTGATCTCTGTGGAATCTTATAGGATCCCGATGGAATCCTGTAAGATCCCCATAGAATCCTGAAAGAATCCCGATGGCATCCAGGAAAGAACCCAATGGCATCCAAAAGAACCGATGGAATCCGATCAAAGCTTTATGGCATCATATACGATCCTTATGACACCCTACAGGACCCCTATAGGACTCCCACGGAATCCTGTAGGATCCCTACGGAATCCAACAGGATCCCGCAGGACTCCTGTGGGACCCATAGGACTCCGATTACAATGAGACTCCGACTACACTGGGAATCCAATTACACTAGGATTCCGGTTACATGAGATTTCGCGAAAACCAAGCCCAAACCCAAACCCAAACCTCACCGACCATCGAATGCGACCTTAGTAGTAGCGATAATCCGAATAGCAATAGTAGGGTAGAAGTAATAGTGGTTGTAGTGATAGTATTAGTGCAAGTAGTAGCAGAAGTAGTAATAGCAACAGTAGTCGGAGCAGTAGTAGTAGCAATACAAATAGGAGGGTTAATAATAGTAAGCGTAATAGTAATAGTAGTAGTAATACCAGAGAAACAGTACTAGTAGTAATATTAATAATAATAGTAGTAGTAGCAATAGTATTCGTAGTAGCAATAGTGATCGTAGTAGTGGTAATAGTAGTAGTAGTCGCAGTCGTAGTAGTAGTCGTAGTAGTAATAATAACAGTAATGGTGGTAGTAGTAGTAGTAGTAGCAGCAGCAGCAGTAGTAGTAGTAATAGTAGTTAGTTGTAGTTGTAAGTGTAGTAGTAGCCGTTGTCGTAGTGGTAGTAGTAGTAGTAGTAGTAGTAGTAGTAGTAGCAATAATAATAATAGAAATCGTAGTGGTAGTAATAGTAGTCGTCGTAGTAAAAGTCGTAGTCGTAGTAGTAGTAGAAGTAACAAGACTACTAGTACAACTAGTAGTACTAGTAGTAGTAGTAGTAGTAGTAGTACTACTACTACTACTAGAGATAATCGTAGTCGTAGTATTAGTAGTTGTTGTTGTAGTAATACTGATAGTAGTAGCTGTTGTTGCAATTCTTAGTAATGATAGTAGTGATAATACGCGCGGCGACAGGATGCCATCTGAAGCGAGGGCCAACGCGCGTGGCGGCGACGAAACAGCAACGTGCGGCATCTGGGCAGAAGAACGGGACCGCCAGCCAGCGCGCAAGGAGTGGCGGGAGGCGGCGAAAGGCAGCCTCCGTCCGTAAGCCCGGATACGCCAGCCAACGCAGGGAGCGGCGACGCGGCGGCGACGTGCGCCAACCGTCCCGGACCACGGAAACGCAAGCGCGCGAGGTGGCCACGAGGCAGCCGCGGGCGCCCCATGGGCAACAACACGGAAACGCCAGCCAGCTCGTTGGTAATTGAAGACCCCTTGGTGCAAGCACATTTTCGAAAAGAAATTAACCATGAACTCGTTCGTGACGCCAGTAGCATGATACGCTGACATGCCATGTGGCCGTCAACTACACGGTCTTAGCTCACGCCCCCGCCCCTTCACACGCAGATTACCGAATACCTACTACCTGCTACCTGTTGAGCATGTCCATGCTGCCTGAATTGGCAATTTACCAATACGCATCTGCCGCCTGAGGCAGCCCTTCCCTTCGGCACCCTGCTGCCCAATTGCTGAGACATCCCTCTGGCATTCACAGACGAGCTCGCGCAAAGACATGCTTCGCCTGTCCTCTTTGTAGCGATCAAAAACGCGTGGTACGTCCAGAGCACACCGCCTGCGAACCCATGTCCGGGCTGGAAGAAGAAATATATATATATATATATATATGTGACATGTTCGTTTGCGCTTTGTTTGGAAGGAGGTCATAAACAGAGAGAAACAGAGAGAGGGGGGATCGAACGGAGAGAAAGAAAGAAGAGAAGCGAAGGCGGCAACAAAGCTAATCGGAGGACCACCATGCAAACCAAGATAACCACACGCACGCATCTGCGGGCGATACCACGCGGAGAGAACCTGCGAGCCATCTGCAATCGCACCTGAAGGCGATCGTCAACTCGCCCCAGCACGACGCTACATGTCGTCCCACTTGCGGCGTGCACGCCCTACTAGCAAAACAAACCGAACAAACCTCCTGAGCTCCTCCCTCTCGTCCTCCCCCCGCCACTCGTCCTCCTCATCCTCTTCCTCCATCCCTCTTCCTTATAGATCACTCCTCCTCGTCGCACCACCAGATGTGTAGGTACGGCGGGCCGCGCATTTCTCGCCCGAGACTTCCTCACAGCGCATGGTGCTGAAGCTTAAAAACCCCTACAGCTACAGGGATGAGGAATCGTTGTCCCAGCGTGGCTGTCGCCATAGCATCGCGCACATTCGTCCTAACAGTTCCCTACTGGTACACGGATGGCGGGCGCGTGACTTTCAAGAACTGGCACTCGCAGTCGCGACGTGCACATTCGTTTTAGAAGCTTCCCAGCAGCTTGCACGGATGGAGGGTGGATCAATTCCATGATGTGGCTGCTCTCCCTTTGGTGCTGCGCACATGTCTGTAGAGCTTCCACCAGACACACGGCAGGACAACGAATCGCGTTTGAAACGTGCCTCTGGCCTCCGCGCCGCACGCAATCGTCTTAAAAGCTTACTCGCGTGGGGGGCGGTTACTGCTCATACTTGGGATCCTGGTGCTAGAGGGACAAGGAAGGCATAACCATTGACTTTCGACTGTCCGCGCAGATCTCTTGGATCTGCGCTGGACCCCCTCTGTGGCGCGCGAAACGCGCCAGGGGCGGCGCTGGAGGCACCGCCATGGGAGTCCAGCACCGATCCAAGAATCCTGCGAGGAGCATCGAAAGCTTGTATTGATGCTGTGTTGTTCTTCTTCGGCGGTGTGCCCTCCTCGGCAACCGCGCTCTACTTTCCGAGCCTGCCGGGTGTGCAATTAGCTTGGCCGCGCCCCAACAATCTCTTCAACGTTGGATGGCCCGATGGCGTCGCAATAAAACAAATATCCGGGCGAAAGACCCAACCATGCGCAATTGTGAATACCACTTTGTGGGTACCGCTTTCGGAGGAGCTCCATATGGGGCCACGAACCGTGTGCGGGGTGTGCCAAAATGAGCGCCAGTCGCATGCGGCCTGTGCCACTGGGGCCTTCGGTGGAGGTCCCTGTGGGGCCATGAACTGTGTGACGGGTGCGCCGAAATGGGTGGCGGTCCGCGCATGCGGACCCTGCCACTCGGGCCCCTGCCACTAGGCCTTCGGTGGAGCTCCCTGTGGGGCCACGGACCCTCTTGGGCCACGAACCGTGTGAGGGGTGTACCAAAATGGGTGGCGGTCCGCGCATGCGGACCCTGCCGCTGGGGTCTGCGGTGGAGCTACCTGTGGGGCCACGATCCTTGTGAGGGGTGTGCCAAAATGGGTGGCGGCCCCCGCATACGGACCCTGCCGCTGGGGCCTTCGGTGGAGCTCCCTGTGCGGCCGCGATCCTCGTGAGGGGTGTGCCTAAATGGGTGGCGGTCACCGCATGCGGACCATGCCGCTGGGGCCGCGATCCTCGTGAGGGGTGTGCCTAAATGGGTGGCGGCCCGCGCATGCGGACCCTGCCGCTGGGGCCTTCGGTGGAGCTCCCAGTGGGGTCACGATCATCGTGAGAGGTGTGCCGAAATGGGTGGCGGTCCCCGCATGCGGACCCTGCCGCTGGGGCCTTCGGTGGAGCTCCCTGTGGGGCAACGATCTTCGTGAGGGGTGTGCCTAAATGGGTGGCGGTCCCCGCATGCGGACCCTGCCGCTGGGGCCTGCTGTTGAGCTCCCTGTGGGGCCACGATCCTCGTGAGGGGTGTGCCAAAATGGGTGGCGGGCCCCGCATACGGACCCTGCCGCTGGGGCCTTCGGTGGCGCTCCCTGTGCGGCCGCGATCCTCGTGAGGGGTGTGCCTAAATGGGTGGCGGCCCCCGCATGCGGTCCCTGCCGCTGGGGTCTGCGGTGGAGCTACCTGTGGAGCCACGATCCTCGTGAGGGGCGTGTCATAATGGGTTGCGGTCCTCGCGTGCGGCCTGTGCCACTGGGGCCTTCGGTGGAGCCCCTGTGGGGCCATGAACTGTGTGACGGGTGCGCCGAAATGGGTGGCGGTCCGCGCATGCGGACCCTGCCGCTGGGGCCTTGGGTGGAGCTCCCTGTGGGGCCACGATCCTCGTGATGGGTGTGCCTAAATGGGTGGCGGTCCCCGCATGCG